TTTTTACCATAAATCCTCCATAGAGAAGTGCCTAGGACATTGGAGGCCTCCTGGTGGAGAATGCTGTCTAAAGGCCTTGATACCTGAGAACGAAGGATTATTAGAAGACAGGTTTTGGTGGGGAGAGGAAGGTGAGGTTGAAGGCCCTAATCACCCGTGAAGGGGGTCGAGGGAACTGCATGGGAGGGGATCATGGCATCTTAGACTTAGAGCTGGAGGGACCTTCAAGCTCTCCAGTCCAGCTGTCTTCATTCATGGAAGAGCAGAATGAGGGTGAGAGAGGAGAAGGGGGCTATCTGCCTGAGGTCACACAGGTAGGATTTGAACCTGTGCCCTCTGACTCCAAATTCTGGGTTTGTGTACCTCCCCTATTTGCTTCCATTTGGGCTTCCTGTCTTTAGTCCTTGATACAGGCATCATTGAGGGTTGGGGAAACTGATTACAGTAAAGTCATGGTGACATGGCATTGGGCCTGAAACCAGGACAGGCGGAAAAACAGACTCAACAGCGCAGTCAAATAAAACAGGGAACATCGATTCCAAAGAGAAAACCACTCTGCAGCCTCGGCAGTGATACCCGCTTCTCTCTGACAGCATTTGGCTAGGTCTCTTTGGTGAAGGGGGAGTGGGGAGAGAACATATTCTCTAAGAATGGCTCATGAAAGGAATGCCTCCAGGAATTAAGGAAAGAGGAGATGAGGACCAGTGCAGAGATCATCCGGCAACATGAAACAAACACCTACAGAGGGTTGATTATGTGCCACAAAGGTGGTCAGATGTAATGGTCACACGGTCCCGAACAGGATTCCCAGAAGATGCCAGAGGGACGCGTGCCCTTCCCTTCCCTTGGCCCTGCTGTTGATGGTGGACTGGTCTCGGTGTGGAAGGGAACATGCAGAGTTTGGAACAATAGACGATCATTGTCAGATGGGCTGTGGGCTTGATATCAGGGAAACCATCCTCAGGTTGAGAGATGGTGAGCTTTCCCTTGTTGGAAGTAGGTCTCCAAGTAGAGGCTCAGCAACCGCTCATTGGGTGTATTCCTTTAGCTCAGGGACATCCTAGGTGCCTGGAGATGCTCCTGCCAAGTCTAAGATTCTGTGATTCTGTTATGTGATTGCATGAGCAGCTTGTTTGTCAGCATGTCTGCTTAGACAAACCAATGGAAGTGTTGTCTGCTGTGTGCAGAGCTCTGAAGCACCATGATCAGTAAAACAAACCAGCCCCTGCTCTCCTGGAGTTCGCATTCCAAGGGGAGGAAAGCCATGGAAGAGATTTTGGCTGCAAGCCTGATGAGTCCAACAGAGGATCCCTGCTCCGGAGGGGACGGGGGCCGAGCTGTGCCAGGGCACCTGCTAGCATGTCCATTTGTGACGCTGATGAAGTGTTTGAGGGCGCTGGGGACTCTTGTCAAGAACTGCCTTTCCTGGGTCTTCAGGAGCTGTGGCAGCGGACATGCCACGCATGGAGGAATATCTGATCTCTGGAGAATTAAAGATGGAAGTCACCCAAAATGCTTTGAAGAAAAATGTGTACTGAATATGTATAAGAAATCTGGGTAGCAGTCGATCTGTTGTTGTGAGGGCCTTTAAGCAAAGGGGCAGCCTGTCTCTTGGGGGTCATGGCACATATGCTCTTGGGTTCCACAGACGGGAAGAATTCAGAGAACATCTGTACACAGAGGACAACCTGGAAACGGACCACAAAGACCCCAGAATTCTGGTCCTGGGTCTGCTCCGCATTTGGAAGGCTGCCAGTGACCCCCACCTGTGGTGACTCTATCTCCTCACCTTGGGGAGGGCTGGGCAGAGTCAGTGGAAAACAAGTGTTAGTGAGGAAGGGTCTCTCAGCCACCTAGAGAACCAAGTACAGAAGGAGGGTGGTCCCTGCCCTGAAGGAGCTTTCATTGCGCAGCTCAATCAGTACAAAAGCAGGACCAGGGGTTTTGGTGCCAACCAGTATGGAAGAACTTTGTGAAGGAGACAGTTTGTTGGTTTGTTTAATGGTGTTTGTTGTAAAAGGAGGGCCTGGAGTCAGGGACTGTTGGGAAATGATAGTAACAAAGAACAGAATAGCTTTTAGAAGAGAGTCGGGCTAAGAACTCTACCCAAAAGTGGTTGAAAAGATGCCATTAAAGAAATGGGGCCTGTCATGGAGCAAGAGCAAGAGATGACCAGTGCATCAATGTCAAGTCAGGAGACGTTTTTAGAAAAAGGCCCAGAGTACGTTGGGTAGGCCTGAAACCAGAGAGTTATGGAGTGGATGTACAAGAGCCACACTGGGAGCCCCTCCCTCTATTTGGGGGATCCTAGAGGCATTGGATCATTAGTGAGACAATTTTAATTATGGCCCTTAGGATTATTTACGGAAGGAAGGAAGGAAGCAGGCATTCAGTGAACACTGGCTGTGTGCAAGGCACTGTGCTAAGCATCTTGCTATTATTATCTCCATTTTACAGTTGAGGAAACTGAGGCAGATATGCCCAGAGCCTGTCAGAGTCTGAGGCCAGGTTTGAACCCAGCTCTTTGCCTCCAGTCTCCATCTGTTATGGGAGGGAACAGTAGTAGAATCAGTAATAGGATTCAGACTCTGATGCTGCCCGACGTGTAGGTCTGTTTCACTTCAGGTGTCCCCCCTGGTCGATTGTGGGGCGCTCTTTCAGCCGATGCAGGCCTGAGTGAAAGGGGCTTTGATGGCGCCCGGTGGCTGACTCTCCCTCTGGGACTGCAGAGGGATTTCTGTGGCACCCCTCCTCCGTTCATTCCTTTTTGGCAATGCCTTTTGCTGCCTGCTTTGTTCGTCATTTGCCTCTTGTGAAAAAGAGTGCGTTGATGAGATGGGCTTTGGCGTGGCTTCTTGGCTGGCTCTGCCAGCATCGGTCTCACAGTTCTACCTCGTGCCCACCTCTTCATGGAAGTTGCCCAGTGTTCAGGCCTTTGAATCACAGAATTTTGAGTCGGGCAAGGCTGTTGGCATCTGTTCCCTCCTCTACATACCCGAAAAATACACGGTCGTGCAGGTCTCCTTGAAGCTCTCCAGTGAAGGGTGATCCGCCACTTCCTGAGGCAGCCCACTCCTCTCAGGGGTTGGTCCTGACCGCCCCTGTGTGTGGCTCCACTCGCCCATGGAAGGCAGCCATAAATACTTGTGAACGGCTTGGCTTGTCCTGGGCGATTTCTGGTCAGGTGGAGGTGATGGCGAGACCTCTGAGTTCCCTCTCACCTCTGAAATGCTGTGGATGAGGCTGAAGCATCTCAGCGAGCTTGTGATGGACTTTCTGGACTTTTTCAGTCCACTCCAAGGAGCCTTGGCCCAGAAGATGCAGTTCCTTCCCAGTGGTCAAAGACTGAGTCAAGGGGACCCACAGTCCCATGGAAGGAAGTTGCTGTTGCCTTGGGGCCCATGGAGAGACAAGTTCCAATGACTTCACTCTCCTTTGCTGAGGAGAGCCTGTGAGCTGGGCTGCTTCGCCATAACTGGTTGGACAGAAAGGTGGCTTGGTGACCACAAATGCAGCGTGGGTAGTCTGTGTTTGAGTGTTATTGAGGACCCGTTTTACAGTGAAATTTGTGTGGTAGCTTCATAGAAGGAGGTAGAACCACTTGAATTGTGAAGTTGGGATGGGAGAATAAAGTGGCTCTTTCATGTTGGGCATGGCTCCTTCTTGGAGCTTGTATCTGCCCTGCCTGAGTAGGTGTTTAATAAGTTAATTACTTTTCTTCATTAACTTTGATGTAATGCATATGTCTCTGCATTTAGTTTAAGGCGTCTTCATTCAGTAGTTTAAGTTCTAGTTGGTAATAGAAAATATTCTTCATTCATGCCTCTTAATGGGTTGTTGATCTTTTAAATATCTTTATTCCTCCCTAGAAAGGTGCTGCTAAGACTGAATATTCTCTTTTCTCTATAGATCAAGCCTCAAGGACTGGGCTGTGTTGTGTTGTATTATTAATTTTTCCCATGGAGTTTGGACAAAAAATAGTTTGGGGGCTTGACAAATCAGTAAAAAATTCATTGAAAAAGAAAAAAAGATCACCCTCTGTTAAGGGCCCTTCTTAATATTCAATATGGTTAAGTAATATAGTGAAATAGGATCAGAATGATCTTTATTTTGGGAAAGTAGACTGCTTAAAACTAAGGCCCCATACCTTGTTTGCTATTTTATGTCAGGATCTTATATTTCACTAGAAAAAAATTCATTGAAATAGAGCCACAGAATGTGTAGCATGGAATCACTTCATTGAAGATTGCATTTGTTTTCATGTGTAGGTTTGCCATAGAGGAATTCTCAGATGCTGACAGTAGTAGATACAGTGTCAGATCCAGTGGGATCTGCATTCACCCTCATAATTACATGGGCAGATACTGAGGTGGATCTACAATTCAGTCGCATCCGTTTGGTTCTTCCTTCCTGTAAATGTAGATGGAGGCCCATCCATGCCTGCCCATCCTATTAGATTCATCCCAAGGGAGCTACCAAATGGGCTAGAGGGCTCTTTTCATTTTTCCTGTCATCTCTTGGATGAGTCCGGCTCAGGAGAAGAGCAGGCTGAATTGTCTTTGCTTTTGATGCCCCTGAGACTTCCCTCTGAAACGAAATCCTGTCTCTTTAATATCAGTGTCCTGCTGGTGTTGCATGTGGCGGGGAGACATGGCGTCCAGTAGTCTCTAAGTGCATGATGGGTACAAATAAGCTGCAACATGTAACTAATGTGGGACTTTGAAGAAGAGCCGGGGGCCGGAGAGGGTGGAGGGATGTGAAGGAGACAGCTAGAATGGTCCACTGGCATATAAGAAATTAGATTTTACCTTCTGCTATGAATGTTTTTTTCAAAGATGTTTGATAAATACTGAATTTTAGAGTAGTGTGAGCATTTGTGTTAAATTTGAATTTAATAATAAATGACATTTAAAGTTATATTTAACTTTGTATTTTCCAATATCAGCATTTAATATGTTTGAGCATTTATGTTATTTTTATGTTTTCAATTTTTTCCCCAGTCACCTCAAATGCCAGAAGGATGAAGAGCTAGCAGAACCACTTAATTACGCTGAACAGCTTCCTGTGGCTCAGATAATTCACCAGGTTTGCTTTATTTTTTCTCTCTTTGAAATAAACAAGATTTTTTTAGTCTTTAAAATATAATTGCTTTTGTTAGGTTTTACAAAATCAATGTGCTGAGGCATTCTGGGCCTGTCTGCCTCTATTCAAAGCACTGTATTAAACTATGACTATGTGTAATACTAGATTTCTCACTTAGTCTATAAAATAGAGTGAGGCCAAAATTATTCTGTCTTTTGTATTTATTTCTAAACAACAAAACTTAATTTCAGAAACTTTCATTCTGAGTCCTTGCACATAATGCTTGTTAAATGACTAGGAAAAATAGCCCAAAGATGATCATTAGGGTGTGATTTTTCTGAGGAACTGAACAGAGAAAACAATTTTGCCCTCCCTTTCCCCCCATTATCAGTCCATGTAAAGTATAACTGAATGCAGTGCCGGCAATTTTTCCATTTCCAATTATAGTGACTCTGTTGTACTTTCTGCATAGCTGTAATCACTGAAAAAAGCACCATGGTTGGAGCTGGGACTTGGGTTCCGCACTGTAATTTTAACAGTACTTAGCTGCTGCCTTGCTGGGCCTGATGTGCTAATAATTTTAAACGGTCTGTTGACTGCTATGGTTATGGCCTTTGGACCTTGCTGATTTGCAAACCCTTGTAGACCAACAGGATAAATTAAAAGTCTTTGTGTCAGAGTTCTTCAGAATTTCTGTGGCTTTTAATTATTATAGTTAGGGCTTTCCAAATACTGCCATTAAGGAGAAATTTTACTTTTTTAGTTGGATGTTTTGCTAGAAGCAGTGCCTGTTTCCACTTGTTAAAGGAAGCAAAGGCTTTTAGAATTTGTAGGTCTGTGTGCTCTTTTTAAAAATGTAGAATTAAATCCTGTAGAATTAAACACACACACACACACACACACAGAGCAACTTTTGACTGAAATTTGTACCTTTGGGAAGATGATCTGTTTGGAAATCAGGTGCAGTTTATGTGTCAGGGATTCCCCATGTTGCCCGTGCTTTGGATGGCCCAACACTGGCAACTGTCTCACTTAAAATTCTGTCTTCTTGCCTGACTGGGTGGGAAGGAATGAGACAGGGAGGGGCAGGCAAGTCCTGTGTGTCCCTAGTCGAGGCTCCCAACAGGGTGGGGCCCTCCAGAGAGGAATACCAGGAGGGAGAGCTGAAGCAGGAGAGAGAAGAGCCTGGGAGGTGACTGAGCCCAGGGAAGCCCCGAGGCACTGCGTTTAGATCCCAGCTGATTGTTTCCTTCAGGGCTGTGATTATCTTAGGAGTGGGTCACAGTGTTTTAAAGGATTTCTAAATCTACCATACCCATTTAAAAGGGTGTCTTTGAATAACGGGCGCGTTTCTTCCTGCTAAGTTTTTTTTTAGATAGGTGACTAAGATAGTCCAGTTTATATAGGCAGGCCGACATGTTACTACCACCACTGTCTGCCTGTGTTTTCCCTCCTCTCTCCTGTCACCATCACACCGTTAGGCAGAGGCACGCTGGTGTATACGCACAGACCTTCCTCCACTTGTCTCCCAGAGGTCTGTTTGGAAGCCCGGCCTCTGGGCTGTTCTTTGTTTGACTGTTCTTGCTGGACCCTTAGGATAGGGAAGTGGGGATCCATGAAGGAGCAGAGACCACATCAGCTCAGGGATTCCCATTACATGCAGGTCACAAGCTGTTGGTCACTCCTCTGCAGGCTAAGAGTCTCAGCCGTCTGGATTCTAAGGCCAGCATTCTGTTCACGACATGAAATCCACCCTTGGAACACCACCCATGAAGCTTTGCCTTCAGATTCATTGTCTCAGGCCTTAGAACCTTTGCCCTGCCCTTACTTCCCACCTTCCCCAGCTGACTGTCCCTCCCCTTCTCAGCATTTAAAGGAGAGACATGATTATGTTCAAAACTACCCCACGTCTCCCTCTGAGTGTCAGGCTTCCAGCGCCCATGCACTGGGTTAGAGGTTTATAAACTGAGGCAGAATGTTCTCGAGCTGGTGCCTTCCCCACACCCCTTGGCATTTTGTCCCCAGACGTTGACTTGGCGGGCAGAGGGAGCGATTCAAGCCATCGTTTTGGGGACTGTCCTAGGGAGACAGATGGGGGAAGACATGGATGATTTTCAATATAATTAAATTTTACAGTTACTTCACAGACATTAATTTTAAAATCAAACCACTGAGCTCTTCCTTAATAGCTTCAATTTAGAATTAAGATATGGATTTTATGACTGAAAGATGACACTTTTTTCTGGAAAATTTACACTGTTTTTTGTTTCTTTGTTAAAGAGTGGCCAGCAGATGGGTTAGACTGCATTTGTTTATTTACAGGTTCATTTCACTTTAATCTGTTTAAATAAAAAGGTGATTACCATTGTGTAGCGGTTATTGATTTTCATAAAGTAAGATCAGGTAGGGATTTTAAAAATATTAGTCTGTTATAAAAGCCTTAGGAAAGGGGCTGACTGTGCTTGGCCTCTAATAGACACTGGAGTGTGCTTTCCTAGAATCAGGGTGTAGTTGTTGGGGAAGAGCATGCCCAGTGTGACTGTTGGTATCTACACCTCCCAGAGCCCTGTGAAGTAGCCTCAGTCCATGGGCTTCCCCCAGCACTTCTGACCTTTTCTGATCTACCTCTCCTTCTCTTTCTCCTCCTCCTCTCCCTCCCTCCTCCTCCTCCCTCCTCCCTATCCTCTTCCTCCTCCTTTCCCTCCTCTTCTCCCTTTCCTCTCCCTTCTCTCCCTCCTCCACCTCTCCATCTCCCTCTTCTTCCTCCTTTTCCTCCTCCTTCCCTCCTCTCCCTCCTCCCCGATCTTTTCTCCCCATCCCCCCATCAGGGCAGTACGCTGCACGTCTTGGCCTTCTTGTCCTGGGTGGGTGTTGTCCTTGCGGTCTATCCTCTGTTCTGGACACCTTCCTCTCGTGGGTTGGCACTTTGTTGTCCCGTGTCCTCACCCCGGCACCAGACAGCCTCTTTTCACCTCTTCCGTGTTCCCCAGTGGTATCCCTTTGGCCATTTCTGGAGCCGAGGTCACCCTGGAGACACAGCACAGCCCCCTCCTGCCCACTGTGACTCTGCATTGTCCGTGGCCGCTCCTAATGCTGTAGCATCTCTTCGAGAAAGTGAATGTTGGAAAGAGTGCATGACTTCTGCTACCAGCCCCTGTCATGTTCTCTTCCTCTTAGTTTGAGGACGGCTAAGTGTGTGCACGTACACACTCTGCTGACCCAGTGTACCGAGTGTACACTGTGCGTCACCGGCCAGCCCCGAGGCATTTTTTGTCTTTGGTTTCCCTATGTGGATCATCAGGCCAGTCTCTTTTAAGCCATCCCGAGTGACCTGGCAGAGGCCCTGGATGGTGCCCGGCATCGTGGAGCCCCTCCTCATCTGGAGGGAGCTTGGGCAAAGCATCCTCCACAGTGGGGGAAGGCACAGGTCTCTTTGGAGTGAGGGCCGTTAGGTGGTTGAGAATCTTGTGTGGACCTGACCTATCTGTACCCGAGAGGAAGGCCTCCTAGCTGGAGGGAAGGCTGCAAGGCTTTTTTTTTTGGTGTCACAGACATTCAAATGGTGGGATCTTGACTTTGTACCTTTCCGTCCTGTTATTAGGATGCAGGCTCTGCAGGGGAGTTATCTACAAGACCTTGCTTCCTTTTCTCCTCAGCTTGTTGAGGGGGCCTCATTTCTCACGGAGAGTCGCTGCCTAGAGGTGGCGGCATGGAGCCATGATGGGGAGAGAATTCATTGGCAGGGATGCCTGGGTCTTAGCAGGGATGCGTGAGGGGACCCAGGCACAGGGGGAGGCAAGCATAGTGTTGTCTTCAGGGGCAGGATGGGGTTCAGTTTGGCTGTAGTTCTGCCAGCAATGAATTAGTGTCCCAGTTTTTCCACATTCCCTCCAACATTTATTGCTTTTCCTTTCAGTCATTTCAGCCAATCTGATAGGTATCAAATGATATCTCAAGGTTGTTCTAATCTGCATTTCTCTAATCAATAATGATTTAGAGCATTTTTATATGACTGTAAATTGTTTTGATTTCTTCTTCAGATAACTGCTTGTTCATATACTTTGACAATTTATCAATTGGGGAATGACTTGTATTCATATAGATTTGACAAAGTTCTTTATATATTTGAGATTTGAGACCTTTATCTGAGAAACTATCTATAAAAATTTCCCCCAGATTTTCTGCTTGCCTTCTGATCTTGACTACATTGGTTTTATTTGTGCAAAACTTTTTAAATGTAATGATATCAAAAATTATCCATTTTATACCTCACAGCATTCTCTATCTCTTGTTTATTCATAAATTCTTCTCCTGTCCATAAGTTTGATAAGTAATATGTTCCATGTTCTTCTGATTTTCTTGTAATATGTCCCTTTATATCTAGGTCATGGATCCATTTGACTTTTATCTTGGTAAATGGTGTAAGATGGTAAATGGTCTATGCTCACTTTCTGCCAGGCTGCTTTCCACTTTTTCCAACAATTTTTATCAAATAATGAATTTTTATCCCCAAAACTTAAGTCTTTACACTTGTCAAACACAATGTTACTGTAGGCATTTGCTGCTGTATATGGTATATCTACTCTGTTAAACTGATCCACCTTTCTATTCCTTAGCTAATTTTTGATAATTACTGCCTTATAACATAGATTAAAATCTGGTACTACCAAACCTCCTTCCTTTACATTTTTTTCATTAGTTGCTTTGATATTCTTGACCTTTTGTTCTAATTGAATTTTGTTATTATTTTTCCTAACTCAGTCAAATAATTTATTGGTATTTAATTGGGATGGCATTGAATAATTTAGGTAAAATTGTTATTTTTATTATGTTGGTCTTGCCTACACATGTGCAATTAATATTTCTCTAATTATTTAAATTGATTTTATTTGGTTTTTTTTTTTTTTAGGCAATTGGGGTTAAGTGACTTGCCCAAGGCCACACAGCTAGTAAGTGTCAAGTGTTTGGTCTGAGGCTGCATTTGAACTCAGGTCCTCCTGACT